TTTTTTTGGGGTCCGAAACTGTCAAAAATAAAATAAAATAAATAATTAGACTAGTGGAACGGCCGCACCACCAGCCTGGGGGGGTAGATGCACCGCCCGAACCCTCGTGAAATGCCTTCGAGCAAACCGAGTTACGATGCCACGCTCGCGTTCACTCCACACCGATTACATCAACAACACACCACACAACAAGTCGATGCGGATTTGTGGTACTTCCCGGCGTGGTACCGATATCTAACAATACCGTGCAGTTTTAAAATCGACATCCTTGCCGCGGGCGCCCTTTTTCCCAAATTCTTGCTGTACCGTTGTTTTCGACCTCTCGCTAGGTTCTTCACCTGGGGACAATTCTCAAACCATCCAGGAAATACCAGACCAAACGGGGCCGTCGCAGACTTGAGGGCGGAACCACATAAGGAGCCGCCATCAAAGGAGAACAACCTTTTACTACATATATGTAGACCCACATCGAGGGTATCGATTACGACGGGTGCACAGAGAGCACACTGCGCGTGCCACCGACTTTCGATGTAGGGTAGTCGCTTGGATTGCCCCTGAATGCGAGGGGGCGTCGCAGACTTGAGGGCGGAACCATAAGGAGCCGCAAAAGGAGCCCGACATTCTATTACGTATTATTAGAGTTTGATGAAGTGAGGTGAGACGTAATATCTCTCTCTCGCGAAGCGTGGCTTTATTACGAAGCAAGTGTTCTCGTCGGCACTAGAAATTTCGTCTGTAGATCCGCATGATGGAAGTTTATATCTTCTTGCCGCATGCATATCGTCATGTGTCGGAAACAGTAATATTTCTCGAGTGAAAGGTGGCTGTGTGGGCATGTACTCTCTCCTACAGCTAAACGTGTGTGTTTTTTACCTTCTAGGGGTACCTTTTGCGAAAGAAAGCTGAGAGGAGATGCCTAAGACGGGTTACATATGCATACCATCACAAGGTCGCACGTTGCCCAGGGTGTCAGAAACTAACTATGTAAGCCTGGCAGGGTGGCGAACCAATATACTTACTTCCACAAGGTCGCACATATCCCAGGGTGTCACAAACGACAAAAAAAACATGACAGGGTTCCGAACCACCGACGTCCACAAGGTCGCACGTTTCGCAGGGTGTCACGACAAATCCATGACAGGGTTGCGATTCACTTACTTCCGCAAGGTCGCACATATCCCAGGGTGTCACAAACCATGGAACCCTGACATGGTTGTGGACCACGTACTTCCACAAGGTCGCACATATCCCAGGGTGGCACAAACTGCTGTGGAACCCTGACAGGGTGGCGAACCAATAGAGCAATGCTACGGTAGGGGGGACACTTTTTAAGACACGGTTCACATGCTGTCGCCCGACAAGGTCCATACAAATGCTCGTAACTCTCTCAATTTTTGCATTTCAAGGAAATCAATTCTGCACAGGCAGCCGCCTGGCGTGTATCTCGCGGCGTGCAAAACAATGAGCATTTTTTCCATTGGTCGAGGCAGTACACACCAGTCCGCCATAACACTCCATGTGACCGAGGGGGTGCCCCCTAGCGTAGCATCCCTCAATATACTTCCGCAAGGTCGCACATATCACAGGGCGTCACAAACCATGGAACCCTGACAGGGTGGGGCGAACCACTGTACACCCACAAGGTCGCATATGTCCCAGGGTGTCACAAACCATGGAACCCTGTCAGTGTCGCGAACCACATACTTCCGCAAGATGACCAGGGTATCTACTTGTAGCTACGGGCTGACCCTTCAATTCAAGCTACACAGCAAGCTCCACCTCTCAGCAGTAGTCCAGCTGCAGCGCATCGCGCAATCTCGCTCTGATTGAAGCA